AATTAATATATATTGTACGAAAAATAGCATGAATCGGAATTTGTCTTCWGCTCATATACAAATTGGAAATAAAGTCTATGGCGCACCTCAATTCAACTTTGATATTGATGAAAACCCAAAACGATTTGCAGAGGCCATTTGAAAACATAAAGCAGGATTTCTTTTAAATTCTTATCAGCAGCCGAAGTCAGGCGCAGCATCAAAGATAAGAGAGACGAAAAAGCAAATTTGGGGAAGCAAAACTCGAGAAAAAAGAAATAACGCAGAAAAGGTGAAAGTTAAAAATCGTTCGTGACTTTTGGCAAGAGCTGGCGAGAGTTTATAAGAACATATCGTGCATTTATTATTTTTCGGGCAAATAGTGGGGATTATTAGGGCTTAAGCAGACAGGCAAGCACACCCTCAGACATACACACACAAGCACATACACCCACTCACACACACGTGCGTGCACAATTACATTTTTATAAAGGATACACCTAAGCTGCTTATGAACGCACAAATGGTTGGCAAATGGAAACATACGAATATATATGTGTATATATATGAGTATATATGTGATGCATATATACATGTATATATATATTTTAGGGCATGGTGTGTGCTACTGTGGTTAGCTCTTGGCATTCGCTAGCTTGTTGCGAGCATCTATTATGAGGCGAAAAGTAACGCTAATGAGTAAATCAAGAGCACATGGTGTGCGATGAGATCCTTCGAAGCCTTCGAATCCTTGGATGCCATGGATGCCACATGCTCCTACGCAGCCTTTGAAGCTGGGCCAGATGGCGTGTTGAAGCATAAATAAGCCGCCGACCTCTGCGTCGCGCGTCCGCGCCCCCCTCGCCTGGCCCGTTTTAATAGCTAAATTATGTAATCATGATGTGTGATATACACACACACACACACACACGCACGCACACTATACACTACACACACTTGAGCAGTAACTGTGGCCCCCTTCCAAAGCTCGTGTTGTGGCATTTATGCAAATCCTGCTGTCGCTTCTTGTGAGAAACTTTTTGCTTGGCAGCAGAGCCGAGCCGAGAGCCGAGAGCCGAGAACAGCGTGGCGCTGCTGTGCCACGCCCACAGCGCCCTCTTTTTAATTTGAAATTTTTCATAATGAGCAGCAGGAGGCGGTGGCAGCGACGGCGGCGTTCGGGGGCGTGGCAGCCAACTGGGATACGCTTTGACGTTGCCATAGTGTGAAGATTAAATTCTACTAATTAGAGACGTCGAGTGGAATGTTCGCGCTTTTGTAAGCTAGTGTGTGTGTGTGTGTGTGTGTGTGTGTGCATTGAGTGGCAGCAACTGCGCTGAGTGTGACTGCCTCATTGGGCAAAGGCAAACAAAATGGCGCTGAACTCCAAAGCAGCAGTCAAAGACCCCGCACAATAAACCACTAATCCCCACTAGAACCACCCAAACAGTCCACACTCCATCACCATCCAGAGCCACTCGCTCATATTGATATACCAAGCGTAAAAAAGTTCAAATCCCCAAAACAAACAACGCCAACAACTACTCCCGCAACTCAACTCGATTCAACTCCGAAAAACCCAACTCGATTCAGAATTGTGTAGAATTTCAAATGAAAATTTCGCTTTTTTTTTTGTTTCTCTGCTTCTGCAGCTCAGAGGAAGGGAAATTTTTAAGCTGAAAATTCTAGCGGAGCAAAGCTGATTTCAGTTAGTTTTTCTAGCACAAGCAAAGCTTGTTGTATTTAATTATTTTTATTTTATTTTGTTATTTTATTTTGATAATACTTCAGCAGCTTATTCCAATTATTTGTTATATATTTCGAAATTAGTTTCCGGCGAGTGCAAAGTTTTCCCTTTAATTATTTATCATGTTTTCATAATACTTTTTATGAGCAGAACTTTATTTTAGATTTGCAGTTTTATGGTTTTTGAAGTCCACAATTAAAAATAATAATAATAAACTCTCAGCTTAATTTTATTTTATTTTCCTGATTTTGTAGAGTTTTTTATTGAGTTTTGTTTTCATTTCCTTACACTTTATAGCAATTTTAATGCGCTTTTCAAAGATTTTTTTTATTGTCCAAGAAGCTTAAATAATATAAATTGAAGTTTGCTACAGAACTGAGTTTACCTAAGGGATTTACTGGGTTAGAGAGACGTTTGATATAAGTTTAAGTGGCAATATATCACACCTCGAATATGACGGAAGCTTCTCTTACCCAGGTAAGTCAGATAATAAGATTATAGCTTGAAGTACGGATTAGATGATGAAAACTAGACTTGATTTTATTATGAGTACTTTGGCTGAAATGAGGAATTTTATCACTACTGAGAAGTGATGATCAAGCGATCATGGGTAAATCCTCTTAAGTCTTTTGCGTTTTACTTGGCGGAGTCTTCTGATAATTGAGTAAGACTGGGATTAGAGCTTGCAGTCATATCAGAGCCCTCTACTAACACTTCTGTAAAAATCGAGCTGAGAGAACAAATATTTATTGCTTAAGACAGCAGAGGGAAGTCTGTATATTTAATCAAGAATCTCTCGAATTTAGCAGGAGCAGACCTTGCCAAGCATTGATTGTACAGCTTGACCTGCTACTCTACTAACTGTAACCAGTTGAGAATTTTTACGGTTGCAGCTTTACGTCGGCATCCTCTTCATATTGAGAGAAAGCATCGCACTCTAGCTTCTAATAGGTATATTTCCTATTTCGTTAAGCTGCTTATAAGTGTTATTCATTTTATTTTATTAAATTACTGTA